AAAAAAATAATTTTTTTTTTTTTTTTTTTTTTTTTTTGTTTTTTTTTTTTTTTTTTTTTTTTTTTTTTCCTCTTCAAATTAAGGCAGTAGGCTGCTGCTTTGTTTAAGGCAGCATGGTTTTTTTTTTTCTTATTTATTAATTATGGGCAGTAAGCCCGAGTTGGCGACTAACACGGGCCGGCTCGGGCTTGGCTCAGTAACTCAAAATGGGGCTCGATTCTCCCAAGCCTTGAGTCGGGTTGGCTCAAGCATTTTTCGGGTTGAGCCACAGGCAACAAGAGCCAACGAACCCGATTGCCATCCCTGTATTGACCTAGAAAGCTCGTAAATCTTATAGCTTGATTTCTAGGTCATTTTAGATCTTATTCCTTTTAGAAGTTGCACGAAACACGAGGGGACAAAATATGAAAGTCATAGGACGAGGAAAATAAGTAATTATGTCGGAAAAAAAATGAAAAAAAAAAAATGAAAAACAGCAGCCCAACATAGGCAGCTCATTGGTTTAAATTAATCTAGAGATCAATTGTGAGGCACATGCAATCCAATTGCAGCTGACTAGATTCTGGACTATCCTACGCAGAACTTTCTCCTACATTGTGGATGGCCACTTTGGATACTGGAAAATCTACATCCCCACAGAGGGCAAATTAAAACAAATCACGTTACAAACACCAACAAATGAGGTCCCAACATGTCATCATTTGAGGGTATAATTGTCTTTTTGACTTAGGGAAAGCAATTTATAGTCTTTAGGTAACACAATCCATCACCTTACGCGGCATGATTTTATTTGACATAAAATATTTCTTAGTGAAGTGTAAAGGTGGCTTCATACGCACAAATGGTTTGTTTATTGGAAAGAGAATCAGAAAATTTATGTATATAAGGTTCGATGGATCCTAAGACAAGTGTGTGAGCTTTAAACGAGAACTTTTTGAGAAGGGAGAGTGCAACAACCTCGAAGCTAGTTCAAACTAGTGAGAGGTTGTCCTCAGAGGCAGCAAAATAAGAAGAAAGCCACTCAAAATTGAATAGAAGCTATAGAAAAAAATTAAGCTGAGATTGATGGCTCGTGGAAAGATTCAAATGAAGAGAATCGAAAATCCGGTGCATCGGCAGGTGACCTTTTGCAAGCGCCGTACAGGGCTTCTTAAGAAGGCTAAGGAGCTATCTGTTCTATGTGATGCTGAAATTGGAGTTTTTATTTTCTCCTCCCATGGAAAGTTCTATGAGTTAGCCACCAAAGGGTTCTCTCTCTCTCTCTCTCTCTCTCACGTATATACACACACATGTATGTATGCATATGTCCCATCTTTATGAGGTGATTCAAGGTAATATTAGAGCATACAAAAACCCCAAGTTTAAAACTAGTTATTCATTTTATGAAAACTGTGATCGTTTCATATATATGATAAGAAAGTAATTTATTCGTTTGTTCTCCCATCTCTTCAATCATAAGCTATCTAATGGATTAACTTTGTATTAAGCACGGTTTGAATGTTCAAATCTCGCCGCTACTCGATATATAAAAACTGTATAATATATATATATATATTCCTTTCACATATTATGTTTTTAAGCGAAATAGTTTAATAATATGTAAGAGCTTGTGCATGCTCTCATTGATATAGACAGTGTCGGTCCTCACTATAGGTGGACTAGGCGATCGCCTAAGACTCCACTTTGGTGAGAGGCCCAAAAAATTATTATTTTTTATTTTACATGTGTTTTCACACACACAGAAGATTTCATATTTGGAATTGGTCTAAGGTCCCAAAATCTCATGACTGGCCTTGGATATAGATCTGTGTTCTTTTATATTAATTTGTGCACATGCACACAAGCTCGGCTCATGGCTATGGCAAGATTGTTTGTGCATGTAACAAGTTGAGACATGAAGATCTATATGATTTGGCCTAAATATTTTTGTTTATGTGTTCTCGTTTTTAAAAATGGAAGAACCATGCAAGGCTTGATTGAGAGATACATGAAGTGTAACCCGCTTGGAGCTCAAACTGAACAGCCCAGAGATAAGCAAGCTCTGGTATGAACTGCCTGACTCAAAATTTAAACAGTTAGAAATAATACAAACTTATTTATATAAAAAAAGAAAAAATTGTCTTCAGCACATTCATTTTTGTGCAAATCAAATTTATTTTTCATCAATTATAATGTGTACACAATTCTCACAAATTGACTTGATTCTACATTTTTCTAATTAGATAACATATATAAAACCATCTCAGATTCCAATATAAAAGTGAGATTAATCAACTTCAACAAAATTTGTAAAATCACGATCTTATTAGTCAAAAAAACCATCCCGATATCATGGCACATTCAATGGCAAGAAAATTATTTAATTAAACAAAGTGCATTGGATAAATTTTCATCAATTATAATGTGTACACAATTCTCACAAATTGACTTGATTCTACATTTTTCTAATTAGATAACATATATAAAACCATCTCAGATTCCAATATAAAAGTGAGATTAATCAACTTCAACAAAATTTGTAAAATCACGATCTTATTAGTCAAAAAAACCATCCCGATATCATGGCACATTCAATGGCAAGAAAATTATTTAATTAAACAAAGTGCATTGGATAAAGTTTTCTATTTAAAAGAGCACTTTGTTAAATGTGATTAATAAGATTAATTAATTGAATACTTTTTAATTTATTTCTGTCACTAAATCATAAACTTAATAATTTCCTCTAGGATCTAAAGGGGGAGATTAGCTTGCTGAAGCATAAGATTGATGGACTTCAGAAAGGGCTGAGGTAATTAAATTCGATTGGAATTTCTCACTCTCAATGTCTTAATTAGTTTGAAGATATTTAAAAAATAAAAAGTTAAAAAAGTAGCTTGAAATTAATCGTGGCCTATTTGTTAATTATTATATGCAATTCCAATTAATATAAGAAAAATATGTGTAGATTCATATCTGGAGGAGGAACTGGTGCTATGACGTTGGATGAATTAAATGATCTTGAGAAACATCTTGAAGTATGTGTTTATCAGATCCGCTCGACAAAGGTCTACACTAACTACATATTTGAGATAATTATTTTTTATGTTATTTAATTTCGTGTAATTTGATTTATCATAATCAATCAGTATGTAATAACCATAACAATCTTATACAGATGGATATTATGTTTCAAGAGATCGAGTTGCTCAAGAATAAGGTGAGCTTAATTATATAAATTTCACTCTACAAAGCATCACTTGAACTTTACTGTGTTGGTGATCATCATCGCCAACACAAAAGTCTGAAAACGTATTTACCTATTCTTTTGGTGATATCATGTGTTGTTTTTTCTATTTCCTTACTTTTCTGAACCAATATTCTTGATATTCAATTGAAGGAGAGGATACTGAAAGCAGCAAATGAGCATTTACAGGAAAAGGTAAAATATGATATCATAATTTGAATATAGCAATATAAAAAATGTTAATTAATTAGTAGGCACTAATTTATTCATAATTAATTTTCTTGATTTTGCAGATAGATGAGCAGTATGGGATTAATAATCCCATGCAACAAGTGCTGACTGATAGTCAATATCCATTATGGACTAACATCCAGTGCCCATTAACCATATCGAATGAAATATATCAGTTCTAACACATGCCTTTTTTTTTTCAGTAATTAATTAATATATATGAGTCTAGTAAAAAATAGAGTTACTATTTGGTACGTTGTATTGGAGATGTGGCCAGTTAAAATCATTTTGTTAGATTATAAACTAGCGTGTCCTTGAACAGCTCATGCCGTTGTAATAACTTGTGAAATTTTGTAATGATATATTTTGTGGAATGCAATTTTCTTTGTTTTTTTTCTTTTTTTTTTTTTAATGTTGAACTATACACATTATATTGTGACACTTATCAGAGTTACGACTATACAAACACATTTTTAATAAAAGTCAAAGTTTCGTTTTACGTAAATTGGAAATCCATCTACTTGACTGGTACATAGACTGCAATTCACATAATGCATAGGAGATGTTCTTAGAACTTGCCTTTGGGTGTATTTAAATAGTTTTTTAAAAATATTTTCTGGTCAAAAGAGCTTTTAAAGAAAATTGACACAAAGTGAGGAAACTCTTGTCCAATTGCTATTCCAAATAAGCCCTTCAAGGCTTTAATAATTTTTCTCCTCAAGCTTGAGCTGTCCAAAATATAATGCATTCATTAGCTAAACTCCAAAAAATTATTATTTTTTATTTTACATGTGTTTTCACACACACACAGAGGATTTCATATTTGGAATTGGTCTAAGGTCCCAAAATCTCATGACTGGCCTTGGATATAGATCTGTGTTCTTTTATATTAATTTGTGCACATGCACACAAGCTCGGCTCATGGCTATGGCAAGATTGTTTGTGCATGTAACAAGTTGAGACATGAAGATCTATATGATTTGGCCTAAATATTTTTGTTTATGTGTTCTCGTTTTTAAAAATGGAAGAACCATGCAAGGCTTGATTGAGAGATACATGAAGTGTAACCCGCTTGGAGCTCAAACTGAACAGCCCAGAGATAAGCAAGCTCTGGTATGAACTGCCTGACTCAAAATTTAAACAGTTAGAAATAATACAAACTTATTTATATAAAAAAAGAAAAAATTGTCTTCAGCACATTCATTTTTGTGCAAATCAAATTTATTTTTCATCAATTATAATGTGTACACAATTCTCACAAATTGACTTGATTCTACATTTTTCTAATTAGATAACATATATAAAACCATCTCAGATTCCAATATAAAAGTGAGATTAATCAACTTCAACAAAATTTGTAAAATCACGATCTTATTAGTCAAAAAAACCATCCCGATATCATGGCACATTCAATGGCAAGAAAATTATTTAATTAAACAAAGTGCATTGGATAAAGTTTTCTATTTAAAAGAGCACTTTGTTAAATGTGATTAATAAGATTAATTAATTGAATACTTTTTAATTTATTTCTGTCACTAAATCATAAACTTAATAATTTCCTCTAGGATCTAAAGGGGGAGATTAGCTTGCTGAAGCATAAGATTGATGGACTTCAGAAAGGGCTGAGGTAATTAAATTCGATTGGAATTTCTCACTCTCAATGTCTTAATTAGTTTGAAGATATTTAAAAAATAAAAAGTTAAAAAAGTAGCTTGAAATTAATCGTGGCCTATTTGTTAATTATTATATGCAATTCCAATTAATATAAGAAAAATATGTGTAGATTCATATCTGGAGGAGGAACTGGTGCTATGACGTTGGATGAATTAAATGATCTTGAGAAACATCTTGAAGTATGTGTTTATCAGATCCGCTCGACAAAGGTCTACACTAACTACATATTTGAGATAATTATTTTTTATGTTATTTAATTTCGTGTAATTTGATTTATCATAATCAATCAGTATGTAATAACCATAACAATCTTATACAGATGGATATTATGTTTCAAGAGATCGAGTTGCTCAAGAATAAGGTGAGCTTAATTATATAAATTTCACTCTACAAAGCATCACTTGAACTTTACTGTGTTGGTGATCATCATCGCCAACGCAAAAGTCTGAAAACGTATTTACCTATTCTTTTGGTGATATCATGTGTTGTTTTTTCTATTTCCTTACTTTTCTGAACCAATATTCTTGATATTCAATTGAAGGAGAGGATACTGAAAGCAGCAAATGAGCATTTACAGGAAAAGGTAAAATATGATATCATAATTTGAATATAGCAATATAAAAAATGTTAATTAATTAGTAGGCACTAATTTATTCATAATTAATTTTCTTGATTTTGCAGATAGATGAGCAGTATGGGATTAATAATCCCATGCAACAAGTGCTGACTGATAGTCAATATCCATTATGGACTAACATCCAGTGCCCATTAACCATATCGAATGAAATATATCAGTTCTAACACATGCCTTTTTTTTTTCAGTAATTAATTAATATATATGAGTCTAGTAAAAAATAGAGTTACTATTTGGTACGTTGTATTGGAGATGTGGCCAGTTAAAATCATTTTGTTAGATTATAAACTAGCGTGTCCTTGAACAGCTCATGCCGTTGTAATAACTTGTGAAATTTTGTAATGATATATTTTGTGGAATGCAATTTTCTTTGTTTTTTTTCTTTTTTTTTTTTTAATGTTGAACTATACACATTATATTGTGACACTTATCAGAGTTACGACTATACAAACACATTTTTAATAAAAGTCAAAGTTTCGTTTTACGTAAATTGGAAATCCATCTACTTGACTGGTACATAGACTGCAATTCACATAATGCATAGGAGATGTTCTTAGAACTTGCCTTTGGGTGTATTTAAATAGTTTTTTAAAAATATTTTCTGGTCAAAAGAGCTTTTAAAGAAAATTGACACAAAGTGAGGAAACTCTTCTCCAATTGCTATTCCAAATAAGCCCTTCAAGGCTTTAATAATTTTTCTCCTCAAGCTTGAGCTGTCCAAAATATAATGCATTCATTAGCTAAAAATATCAATAAAAATTACTACAGTGGAAATTGTAAAAATATGCTGATAATTAATTAAGTCATATGCAGAAATTTGTACTGCTTCAGGCATCAATCGGGCAAACTAAGGTTTTACATTTTAAGGTTTTAATCCTGAATTTTACGTTCTTCTGCCTACATTTTAAGGTAACTTCTTTTACCGTTCTTGATTTTTTGCTGAATCACTCGATGTGCATGGAGTCAATTATAACAGGTCTTGATAATGGCTGTGAATGTGAGCATAACAAGTCAAACTCTCTTAAGGGTAAAATGTGTTAAAGGATAAATTACACATCGAATAAAGATGAAAATATAGATCAATATATAAGAATTTGGACGACTCTACTTAATAAAGTCGACATTTTAAGATGAAACCTCGAATTTTAATAAAATGATCATGAGAATATTTAATTAAAATAGTCTAGACAATGTCAAACGAAAACAATATCAAATAAGGTTCCACAACATAAAGACTAACAAATGCATTATGAAGCCCACATAAAACAAAAAATTGACTACCAATCATGAAGTGTGAACTCTATGTAGATTGCTCCACTACCATCTAGATTGTCGTTAAATGCTGTACTTGAAAATATTGTTCTTGGGCTGGCTCCACTAGCACCTAGAGGTTGTTCAAGCACTATAAAAAAACATGACTTTAGGTATGGATTTTCCATTTCTGAAATCACAACATTCGTTGTTATTACTCTTTACCAACCGAATATTAGCAACTACACAATCTTTTGTTAATTTGAGGGTCGCTGATGGTTTTCCACGGATCGCACTGTAGGTAAAGATTAAACTTTTTATTAACGAATTTTTCATTGATAAAGTGTGAACCTTTTATTAATGAAAATTTCATTTGTAAAAATCCTAACTATTATCAACCGACCTTCTGTTGGTAAATATCTACCATCACAATTAGAAAAAATCGATGTTGTAAATAACCACATAGGTGAGAGCCATGGCCAAAAAATTTATTTATATATTTATTATTATTGTTATTGTTATTTATTTAATAATTATTAATTTTTAACTTTTACCAATTGAATTGAAAGGCCCAAAATGTTATTCAACCACTTATTGGACACAAATTTATTGAGGGCAATTCCCAAAAAAAACTCTGTTGTGAACTTACGATGTGAGATAAGAATTCTATCGATTGGATTGTAATGTATTGTATTGTATCTTTAGTTTGGCTATAGTGTATTGTACTATTGTATAAATAATTATTTATAGTTTATTACCTTTCAACTATGTATATTCCATCATTTGGATTGTAGTGTATTGTATCTTTAGTTTGGTGGTGTTGTATTCTACTATTGTATAAATAATTATTTATATTTTATTACCCTTCAACTATGTATATTTAGAGGGTGAATGATTGAAGTTTTTAATTATTAAAATTGATTAATATTATCAACGGATTATTTCATATTTATATGAAATAATCTTCACCTCATTGGTGAAGAGGCTATTTAAAAAAATAATAATAATAATTACCCTTCATCTACATATATTTTGTAAGAGAATGTTTGAATTATTAAAATTGATTAATATTAGCAAAGACAATTCCGTTGGTAATATGATTTACTCTTCACCCACGGAAAATCTGTAGGTGAAATGTTGACACAACTTTTAGAAAAAAAAAAAAGGTTGAATTACATCATCTACGTAAATACAATTGGTATATTAAACAACATCGTTAGACACGAAATATTCGTTGGTGAAGAATTACCACTTTTACCAACAAATAATCCGTTTCTAATTATCAATGTATACAATCCGTTAATACTTATCTATAGGTGAAAAGCTAATTTTTAGTAGTGAAGCAAATAAAAAATAATTATTTTTTGTCGAGTAGTGCTACATTTAATTGATCTTATTATTTGAACTAGCATCATGCGAGATCATCCCACTTTATATGTAAAGCATTATTATTTTTTATTGGATTTTTCTACTTGTCCACAAAAATGATATATAAGCAGTTATTGAAAATTGAAATGATGTGGAGGGAGAAGATTTGATGAAAAGTTGATTTTATTTTAAACTAGCAAATGATAGAGTGTCTTCTAAGAATTATGTGATCCTTTATATAAACCTTGATATATGACCCTTTGCAAACCTACAAGTACATGAAATCGTGAGCAAGCAATATAATGATGAAATTGTCGAACCCACGAGAACTATGTCTTTAATCTTGTTGAAGTTATTAATACCCTTAATCGAATAGAAAGATAGAATTATAACGAATGAATGTCTAATTTATCACTAACTCGAAAATAAACTAAAAACTTGTCAAATTCATGAGATGTATTGTTAAGATGTAGAATCCCCTTGCTAATCCAATTTTAGTTCAACAATTTGAATTGACATTTCAAAATAATGCATTTTGGTGATATTCCTATTTTAATTAACAGCTTCTCTCGATGGCAATTATATCTAATCCTACAAGGGATCTTCCATATCTCTATGAAAGATACGAACGTGCAAGAAATCATTAAATGAGTTAGAACATCTATAAAAATCATGGGAAGCATAGATGTGTATCTCTACCCTCTATCGAACCTTACGAAGTTTATTAATACATGCTAATGATTCTACTATCTCTCTCGATGATAATAAAACCTACAAACAATTCAAATAATGGCCAGTTAATTGAAAAACAAACTAGACCTTGATAAACATTCAAACATTTAAATAAATTAATGTCAATCAAATCATTCAATTAAAAATATCATAACAAGGCTTCATCTCATTAAAGTAATGAAAAGAGTCTATCCAATCATATTGGAATTACAAAAACACATTCTAAGGTTAATCAACATCACCCAGGAATTAAATAATTAGCGAGAAGCATCGAATTCTTGAATGTTTTCGATGAATTCTTGTTATCTCTTGAAATTTCCTTTCAATCCTTGTGCAAGTTTCCTGGTATGAAGTGTGCTCAATAGTTTTCTTACAATTTCTTAGCTGAAATCTCTCACAAGTATGAATTTGCACTTTTCTTCAATATAATTCTCTCAAGTTTTTGAGTTGTTTGTTGTATAAAAGAGGCTCTTCCATGTGTATGAAACGTTTTGGTATTTATATGGCTCGAATCTAAGTTAAAGATATCGCAAAAAACCTTGCAAGTAGAGTTTTAATTTTATAAGAAAACTTGAGATTCGTCCGAAATCTTGTACTATGCGGTAGCATAATACATTGGGATGTGACCGCACAGATTTTTTTGAACTATGCTACCCCATATTTATAGGTTTTTTTGGTCGGACAACTTTCTGTATTTTGGTCATATATTTCTCTTTCGATATTTGATTGAGGTGATTCAAAGTTCGTTGGAAAGATAACTGAAAGAGATGCAATTCTTCTAGAGATATCATTTTTCCAACTCGAACATTTGTTATGTCAAAAAGGGTCTCAAACAGAGACTGGAAATTTGAAGCTTAACTTTTTCGTCTAAAAATTGATATGTGATAATACTTCGACTATATTTAATCATTTTGACTTCTTTCCTTATTCGATTGACCCCTGACACTCTCAAATCTTCATTGTAAGATTCGACACAACTTTTCAATTTTACACTTTAGTCCTTAAATTTTGATTTTGTTTCATTTCAGTTATTTTCTATTGTAATCTTTTTCCTTTATCTTCCAATTATATCCAATTAAAACCTTGGCATCTTCAATCTTCATTTCATTGCCTATATGATCTACGAATTTTTTGCAACTTTGGATTTAACTCTTTTTTTGGGTTTTCCTTTTACTTCTTCCAATGTCTGTTTAACCATTGAGTTTTACGTATTTACTACAAAAATACAACAATTTAAACTATATTTTATCAAAGGATCAACTAAATAACATTGGTTAAGATCTTGAATAAGTGTATAAAATACACTTATCAATGTTTACGTAGCAATGCCATTTTTTATTTAAACTTGATGCCTAGTAAATGGTTGTAATTACATCTCAACTGTACCTGGCCATACAACTCCATGCATCATTCAATTTAATGAGTAAAAAGCAACATATATATGTTTTCTAGGTAAGCGTGACAGTGTTGTTTTACTTTCGCCGTTAGAAACAAATTTAATGAGGTTGCAATGGAACCACGAAATCATCAATGGAGCCGCCCATGGATACCAATCATTCTC